CTGCAAGTGTTTAATCTGGAGTCAAATGTACGCGGGCCTGATGCTTTTCTAAGATTTTACAGAGAGAGCTAGTGCTTTCATGGTGTGTCTGGATGATGATTTATCTTCTCATTTTCTCTATCAGCCTCTGTCTTCCTGGCCTGGCAAAGGGGTGCTTGCTAAGCCAAGGGACGTGGCGGTGGCCTTCTGCCTCGTCTTCCATGCCTTCGCTGTGGGGCCTTCGGAGAGCCGCTCAGTCGTTTCACTGCTGAGTGTCCCAAACACCAAGTAACCTTCACCCTCTAAGCAGTGGGACCCCTCCAGGGAGGCAGCACATGAGACCTGGCACCGGGTCATCCCAGAGGCTGCGTGGGGACCGGATGACTCTGAATGCCCCCGTGCTCGACCCCCACCCAGCCTGGGGGTGCCTGCTCATACTGACTCCATCCAGGTCGTTTGGATGACAATGTGGATGGACAGCGGGCCACCATGATTGGGGCCCAGAGCCTCCAGTAGGCCTGCCCAGGTCCCAGGGTCAGCTTCTCCACAGGGGGGTAGAGGAGAGAAGTTTTGGGGGTTTATAATGGCTCGTTATGGGATTACCTGGTGAATGTGGCCAATATCAACTCTTTCTCTTTGACGCTCCTAATATTAACTTGAAGTCTTTTGCTGCTCGGAATCAACACATTTTTCTGATGATCTTTCTTCTCGTTTGGACTTCAGTATTTTCAGTAACAACAAAATGAAACACTATTAAATTTAGATGTGCGATGAGTAAAGTGCCTGGCATACATCAGGTGCTCAAAATGTCCTTGAACATAACTCACATATTAAGACCCAAATATGACACAGTGAGCCTTTATTTGTTCCAAAGCATCAATATGTTCTTTTTTGTCATTCGAAAGCCATAGCCCTACATTTCCGGGTGACTTACCTGCTACTGACTCGTTTTTATGCCCATCATTCTAGGAGCTACAGGTCACTGCCCAAAACTCACAGTGGATGCTCTCCTGACTCTAGAATGTGCCTCGGCGTGTTCCGGAAGCACCGTGCAGCAGTCGGCCGGAAGCTCATGGGGCTGGAACTGTTACTTCCTGTGGGAACACAGCAGTTGCCCAGTAAACGTGAATGAACAAATGACTGAGCAGGTCCCAGGAATCCTGTGACTGCCAGGGAGTCTGTCTTAAAAACTAAGCTTCAGGTCGACTTAAAAAAACATGATAAAATTTGTGTAGACAAATGAAGACTAATGACACGAATAAAAAGGTGGTCACCAAGTGCCAGGCAGGGCTCACTTTGTTACGAAGCTTCATCTGATGGGGTCCTGCCTGAGATGCCCATAGGCGAGCTGGTGCATTCATCATCTTTCCTGTAGAAAGTTCTTCCTTTAAGTGTTTTGCTAATGGTTTTCTTGAGATCGTTCCATGAGATCAATGAAGAGACAGACCCTGTCTCCCTGTGGAAGGCAGACCTTCGGCCGTGGTTGCCCTGTCCGGCCCTCACCCTGACCCCCACCCTCATGGCCTCTACTGTTCTGGTGGAAGGACGGGGCACCGCCACCAGAGGGGAGGCCTGGTGGGTGCTGGGTCCAGGGCCATGGCCGCTGACAGCACCCGAGCGCTCGGCAAGGGCTGTCCTAGCAAGGCCATGCTGGTGACCTGCACAGTGGACTGTCCTCCGGAAGTCAAACTCCAGGGCTCACTCACTCAGTGCTCTTCTCAAATTACCACCAGGAGCCGGGAGCTGTGCCAGGTGGGACCCTGCCCTGCAGGAGCCTGCGGCCTGCCAGGTAAGGCTGCCCCAGAGCCTGGTGGCCTGAGCTGGTAAGGGCAACGCAGTCCCCACGTGGTGTCTGCGGAGGTTACCTGTGGGGGAAGGTGGGGGCATGGATCCCAGGAGGTACCTTCCCACCCATTGCACCCAACTCTCCGTTACTTGGCAGACAACTAATTCTCCAACTATGGTTTTTCTAGGCTAGTGTTATACTTAGCTCACTTTTCTTAGCAAACGCCAGCTGGTAGGCGCTGGTGCTGACCCAGAGAACGCCACTGCGTCAGCATGCACAGGACGCTCGGGTGCTGGAGCAGCCCAGCAGTGTCCTCCCACACAGGGTGACAGGGATGGCCACCGCCACTGCGTCAGCATGCACAGGACGCTCGGGTGCCGGAGCAGCCCAGCAGTGTCCTCCCACACAGGGATGGCCATGGATGGCACCACAGCCTGAGTGGGCCTGAGTTGGTCCTGAGATGCACGAGTGGCTGCAGAAGCGTGTGCTCAGGGCCATGAGCACCTCGACCCACGGGATGGATTCTGGGCGGGGCTCCAGGAGCACTTCAGGACTGCTCTGGCTGGAGACGACCTTTTGGGTCTAGCTCTGTCCCACGTGGCCAAATGGCTCAAGGCCGACCCACGGTTGCCCAGGCAATCCCGACGCCTGTGCCTGAGGGGTGTGCACAGAGCACGCTGGGTGGACAGAATGGACATGGAGGGCGCCCTGTCCCCATGCGTGCTGCTACTTGAGGGTCAGGCCTGCACCCGGTGCCCCTGGCTGCCACTGCGCACAACCTGGGTTTCAGCTGCCGCTCAGGCTGCAGGTGGGGGGGGGGGCAGCCATCGGAGAGCTCGAGGGCAACAGGCTGGAAAAGGGAAGATTTTAGGCAAAGACAAGGCATATCTGTAGTTCTAAGGGAGGGAGAGGAAGAGAGAGAGGAACAGGCCGGGGAAGAAGTCTCAGCGAGGACATGAGTGCCCTGCGCGCCCCGCCAGGTGGCAGCGGCCTGCAGTGCTCTCCAAGGCGACCCCCTGGCACCTCCGCCTGTCTCCCCACCCGGCAGTTCCCTCCGTAGCGTGGCCCGCATGGCCCGCACGCACGTGATTCCATGCCCTGAGGCGCATCTCGATGACAGCGCTGCAGCTGAGTGACTGGGCCGGCGCCTGTCCTGGCTTCCTGTGCACGTGGCGCTTGACCAACCAGGAAGAGCTGCCGAGCCACTGCTTCCCCAGGGACACACCACGCCCTCTCCTTCCGCACCTGGGGTTCCCCTCATCTTGGCAACCCCTCCGTTTCTAATCATCTTTTAGCTGTTCACACGGGGCGACGATGCTGCCTGAGGGTGCATTCTCCAAAGACGAAAAAACGGCGGGAAGACACGGGTGAGCTGGGAGGCGAAACGCCAGGGTTCGAGGGTCGGACCGCGGGCACGGCTCAGCTTTTTCAACCATGAATTTCTACGCATAAATGTTTGACGCTGGCTAGTTTGAACTCAATTGCTTCTGCATCCCTCATATTTTAATTTGACCTTTTTAAAATATATACTTTTCAGTAACGGCAGACATACGATTTTATTAGTTCCTGGTGTACACAGTAGTGGTTAGACATTTATATAACTGTGACCACCCGATTAGTCCAGCGCCCACCTGGCACCACAGTGACTACAACGTTACCCTCTGTCCCCCACGCTGTTCTCATGCCCGTGATTATTTCCACAACTGCCAATCCGTGCGTCTCAATCCGTTCCCCCTTTTCGCCCAGCCCTGCCGCCCACTCCCTCTAGCGAACCTCAGTTTGTTCTGTGTCTGAGTCTGTTGCTGTTTGCTTTGTTTGCTTTTCCAGATCCCACATATAAATGAAATCCTCTGGTGTCTGTCCTCTGCCGGACTTATTTCTGATTTTGACCCTTTTACAGTCTGTCAAAGGTCAATGAGTTTGAGCGCCGGCACGTTCCAACTCAGCTTCACCATGAAGGGAGACAGAAAACAACGGAAGGGAAGGCGACACCACGAGGTGGCTGCTTTTTGAGGAAAAATTGTTATTTATTTGTATGATTTTTACAACTGAGATTCCTGCCCTTTGCTATTGATTCGCCATCCTCTGCCTTTCCCTGGGGTCCACCTGGAGCGGCCCCGTCCCTGCCCTGCCGGCCGAGGGGAAAGGCGCCCAAGGACCCAGGGGCCCTGACACCTCGCAGCCCCAACTCAGACGGCGGGTCACCGTCCCAGCCCTGGACCAGTTCTACGCAAACCGCCTCACTCCTGAACCAGCGCCAAAGCAGGTGCCAGGTGGCAGGGGGGCTGTGAGGGGGAGATTGGAGGGTCCCCTCCAGCTCCCAAGGCCGGAGCCCCGAAATGGCGCACCCCCGAGCTTCCCCCTCTAGACAGGGACTTTTCTGACATTCATCTACACAAGCTCAGAAACATCCGGTTCAACCACCAGCTCACAATGACGAGCTGCAGGCATTTTAATGAGCTGCCGAGAGCTGGACCTCACTACACACCACCCTGGGATAAACTCTAATATCAGCATCAGGACTTGGGAAGGTCAGCTCGTTACAAGGAAATGGGTTCAAGACCAGAACATCAGAAAGAGCAAAGAACAAGCATTTCTGAGAAAGAAATGTCTCTTGGGTGAAACTTCTTCAGAATGGAATAAAACTCTGTCACTAGAGAACAGTGACACCCCTTCAGGGTGTTGGGTGTTGCTGTGCGGTTGTTCCTGCCGCCACTGCGACGCAGCCTCCTCAGAACCGGCTTCTCCAAGGGTCAGTATGAAGTTACTAGAGAGTTTTCCCCTTTCACACTGGACTCACGTGTCCCCTTCTCTCGAGCACACGGCACTCGTCGCCGAGCAGCGTTCCGGGACACGGAGATGGAACCGGCCGGGGAACAAACGCACCAGCCACAGTTCAGCGGCTCAGACTTTTTAACATCTCTTCGCACTTGACAGGCTTATGTTGATTTGGATCGTAAGTTAAGGGCTGTGGTTTACGTGTTTGATACAACAGACAGATTGGTGGCTTAAGAGAATTATCTGCTTTTCCTGTATTTTAGCAGCTACAGGGATCAAGAAAAGGCAGAGTGTATTTCACGCTGTTTTGCACAGACGTGTCAATCAGATACTAATGCAAAGGCCTGATGGGCTAAGGGGCTGAATGAGCGCCAAGAAACAGCTGGGACGGTGTTTCACTCT